TTGTGAATTCGGTGACACGCTGTCTGACAGATTATGTGAAAAGTTTGTGACAGGTGTAAACAGCCCTGATATTCAAAGAAAGTTGCTGCTCGAGTCAGATCTAAAATTGGAAAAAGCAATACAACTTGCAATGTCATTCCAGCAGTCATCAGATGCGGCGAGATCTTTAGCACCTTCAGAGATCCATGCAGTAAACAGCAGGTTAGTCAATAAACATCAACCCCATCAGAGCATTCCAACTTATGCTAAACAGCCTGCTCATTCAAATCCTAGATCTAAAGCTAGTAATAATTATCAAAAATGTCATCGATGCAAGGGTCCCCATGCATCTCATCGGTGCAAGTTCAAGTCTGCAACTTGTTATAAGTGCCGTAAGCAAGGTCACATTGCCAAGGCCTGCTTTGCAAAGTCTTCGTCTGTTGCTAAATCTAGCCAGTCAAGACAGTACCGCAACCAAAGGCAGCACTATGTTAACTCTCACCAAGACTACCTAACCCAACCAATGAACCACTCTACCTGTGAAAATGCTCAAACTGATTTGCAGCCGGATTTCAACCTGTTCTCTGTGAAATCAATAAGTCATGCTCCCATCAATGTACCAGTTTATATCAACGGTAAGAGCATCAGCTTCCAACTTGACACTGGAGCATCTCTAACAGTCATAACAAAGAAAGATTTTGACGCTGTCACAGGAGAATCAGTGCCTCTACAGCCATGTCACAAGTGTCTAACAACATACACTGGTGACAATGTTCCGGTAATAGGAGAGTGTATGGTTCATGTAAGTTATAATGGTCAAAGTGTTAAACTTCCTCTTCTTGTGGTTGAAGGAAATGGACCGCCATTACTAGGTAGGAACTGGTTAAGTGATCTTAAGTTAAATTGGGAGAGTATTTGTTCATTGAAGAATGTAAAAGAATCTAGTCTTACTTCACTAGATAAAGTTATATCTGAAAATAAATGTGTTTTTGGTAATTCAGGTTTACTAAATGATAGAACAGTGAAGTTAAGCATTAAAGATACAAATCCAAGATACTGCAAAGCTAGAGTTCCACCTTATGCAATGAGGAATAAAATTGAAAATGAGCTAAGTAGATTGGAATCTAATGGCATCATAAAGAAGGTAGACTATTCCGATTGGGCAACACCCATTGTGCCAGTGTTAAAGAAGGATGGTTCTATAAGAATTTGTGGAGATTATAAAACTACACTGAATAAGCAAATAGAGCTAAATAGGTACCCTATTCCTAACATTGAGGAAATTTCTTTGAATTTGGCAGGAGGAGACAAATTCACTGAATTAGACTTTAGTCATGCTTACACTCAACTAGAACTGCATCCAGATTCAAAAGTCTATACGACAATAAACACACATAAAGGACTCTACCAATATGAAAGACTATGTTTTGGCATATCATCCAGCCCTGGAATTTTCCAAGCTGTCATGGACAGTATTTTTAAGGACATTCCAAATGTTTGTGTGTACTTTGACAATGTGTACATAACTGGTAAGAATGACACTGAACATCTTAAAACACTTGATAAAGTATTAAAAATTGTTGGTGAAAAAGGTTTAAAGATAAACAAAGATAAATGTCAATTCATGTTGACAGAAATTAGTTTTCTTGGTTATATATTGAGCAAACAAGGTATCAGACCTCAACCTGAGAAAACAAAAGCCATTAAAGAAGCACCCAAACCTGAAAATACCCAACAACTAAGAGCTTTTTTGGGCTTGATAAATTTCTATGCAAAGTTCATAGGGAATCTGTCTGGTAAACTATCACCACTGTACAAGCTGCTACAGAAAAATGCAACTTGGCACTGGGGTAAACAACAAGATACTGCTTTTAATACAGCAAAAGAGGCTTTGTCTGCTGACACCTTACTAACTCACTATGACCCAGGGAAAAGACTTGTATTGACATGTGATGCTTCACCAGATGGTGTAGGAGCAGTCTTGTCCCACATGGATGAGAAGGGTGACAGACCCATTGCTTTTGCCAGTAGATCTTTGAACCAGGCTGAGAAAAATTATTCTCAGTTAGATAGGGAAGGCTTAGGCATCATTTTTGGTGTTAAGAAATTTCATAAGTTTCTGTTTGGTAGGAAGTTCACCATCTTTACAGATCATAAACCATTGCTAGGTTTATTTGGAGAAAACAAAACCCTACCTGAGCATGCCTCACCAAGAATTCAAAGATGGGCTATCACACTAACTGCATACAATTATGAATTGAAATACAAACCTGGATCTGAGAATAGTGCAGATAGTCTTAGTAGATTACCTTTAAAAAAAACCAGAGCCTGAGCTATGTACCAGAAGATGTATTTGTTCTCTTCACTATCATGGATAACTCCAATATAAATGTGAATGATATTAAAAGAGAAACACAAAAAGATGAGTGCTTAATAAAAGTATATGAGTACTGTAAGAATGATTGGCCTGAAGAGTCTGTGAATGATGACTTAAGGCCATATTAAATAAGAAATAAAAACCTTTGTGAAGATAATATAAAAGATGGAGAAGATGCAGTCCATTATCAGTCAGAGTTGCCTAAACAAAGTATTTGTAACTTAATAAATGATTATGGTGATATGGCAATTTCAAATACATTAGTAAGAAGGAATGTGATCATCAAACAACTTTGCTAGCATCATTAGCACTTACAGAAACTAAAAGGGTAACATCAAAAGAAAAGAAAAAAGATTTTTGCCATTTAATACTTTCAGATGCCAATTCAAAAATAGTTCCATTAAATCATGACAAGACATTCATTGAAAGAGAATTTGGTGTTAATAAGAATGTGTATCTAAGAAGTTATGGGAGAAAGGAAAAATGGATACCAGGTCAAATTGTTCAATGTACAGGACCTGTGTCTTATAAAGTAAAAACAAATGATGGGCTTATTGTCCGTAGACATGCAGACCAGTTAAAAATAACTTGTGCAGATAATAAGTGTGAATCTGTCAATCCCACCAAATCTGATCAGTTCACACCAACTCAGTTTGTTCCACAACCAAGTTCTGTTGATATGAGTGAACCAAGTTGTCTGGAGTCAGAAAATGTAAATTCTGGAGTTAATGATTTAAATCCTAGACCTCCTGAGATAGAGAATCCAGATGGTCAGAATCTTGAGTCACCAAATCAGAAGCCACTGAGAAGGTCAAACAGGACAATCAAAGTCCCAAATAAGTTAGACCTATGATTTTAAAGGTCAAAAGGACTTTGACATTATTGTTTTGTATTTTGATTATGTTGTAGCATATTGTGCATTGTTTGTAAGGATGTAATCTACCATAGTGTTCATGTTACAATATAATTGGTGATTTTAGGATACTATCAATTGTTCTATTGAGAGATGTGTTATTGTGTTCTAAGGGTAAAGGGATGTAATAGATTGAAATAATTGTGAGGTCAAGGGAACTCACTCTTCTGTATTAGTTATATTTATAATATTGTTATCTTGAGTGATGTCCCTTGTGTACTTCCTTCCGTCCTCTCTGTGTGTTACTATCGTGATGTAGTTAGACCCATTAAATGTGTTATATACAACCACAGGCTTCTGTCGTCAATCTATTATAGTTTATAATATTTAGTGAAAAAAAGACAGCAGGTGCGAGAATTTTTTTCCATAATTTTATGTTTTAGAGATCTTTCTTACTGGGTATAAATATTTTGCTAGACATCGTGGAAGTAGATCTAGGTCTGTTACGTGCCTTCCAACATGCAATTCTTAATTAGAAATGCTGTTCCCAGACACTCTCACTTGATGTTATGGCTACTTTACTAGAGACATTTACATAACGTAATATTTGTTCTCATGGTTTCGGCATGTAAGTAGACCGATTATCTGAACAGTGTGGGTAAATGCTGTTCTATTCTTTTTATTGGTTGGTAGAGACGTTGTGATAAAGGAATGTGATATAATTAAAAGGCCTGTCTACAACAATGTTTAAATCCGTTTTCTCACGTTTTGTTTGTCGAGTTACCTTACAACAACCTACACATAAAGGTTAAGCTTACGTCATGTGTGGACGGTGGGGTAGGTTAAGTTCAATAATCGTAGTCAACGCGATATACATTTAGGCTTACTATTGGGTCTTAGCCCTTAGCTAACGGCTAACTCACCAGTAGGTAATAAAACAACATCATTATAGTGTTTAGCTTTTAAAATAAAAATCTAGGCCCTATTCAAATTTAATTTATTTTGATGTGATTAAATAGCTGATTAATATAGGCTACAGTCATAGCCTACTGCTGTTTTTTTTTTCATTTTTTATTTTAAGACCTACTATATTGTTAACAATAATGTAAGGTCCTGTTTTAAGACGAAAAAAAGCCCAATACACCCCACAATCCAGAGGCATAGCGACCCCTCCCTGCGCCCGAAGACAAACTTTCAATTTGGCGCCCCCCCCCCTCCTATATTTTTTATATCTATAATTCAAAACTGCAGCTACAATGAGCTTTTAATTTTTTTTCCAATTTATTTTGGCGCCCCTAGGGTCGGCGCCCGGGGAATATGTACCCCCACCCCGTCGCAACGCCTCTGCCACACACTCATCCGCACACTTCAGCTGGCTTCCCTTTAGATCAATGTATAAAGTTTAGACAGAAAAATAAGATGAAGAAATAAAGAGGCCTAAATAAGTAAAATAAATCTAGGTCTAGCTAAATATGCCTACATAGTACATAATGTTATTTTTACTACAATGATTATTAGGACCTAGATATAATTACATTTTAATAATACGATTGATTGACACACTTTTGCAAACAATCTAACTGCGCAACCACACACAAAAAATAGCTGAGATATTATTGCGTTGTAGTCGCAGCAAAAGGACTGCGAGCTGGTCTTAATTCAGGTCAATCGAGTCACTGTGACTCAGCGAAAATTGTACAGCCTACAGCTTTTATTCATATCAGTGACGTAAACACTCTTCGCTAATGTACTTTTTGAAAAAGAAGAGTAAAATAAGTGGGAGGTCAAAGGTTGTAGCACATGCTACGCCACCTGATGTGTAAGCATACCAGGCGATAAGCAAACGAATGTGTAGGCCAAAAGTAAAACTTAAAGTTTAAGTTGTCGAGATAGTTTTGTTTTAGTAACAACACATTAGTTGAATTGTTCTAATAATATATCTAGATTATCTATATGTAGATCTACAATGGAGGAACTGGTTTCTAAATGTGAATATTGTGGATTGGCTTCTTGTTTATTTACAGCGGTGGCGGTAAGTCTACTCAGACAATTTTTTTTTATTAAATCTAGAATCCTATATCTAGATCTAGATTCTAGATCTAGATCTAGTCTAGCTAATCTTTAAATCTAAATCTAGAGTAGATTTTCTAGATCTAGTCTAGAAGTTTAGTCTAAAATCTAGATCTAGACTTCTAGAACATGAAGCTAGATTGAACTTCTAGATTCTAGCTAGATTCTACATACAACATACAAACATACATTTAGAATCTAGAATCTAGATTTAGTTGAGATAGATCTAGATCTAGAATCTCTAGATCTAGAATCTACATGGTTAATGGTTACATATACATTAGTTCATCAGAAGTAGACTGGTACTGGTACATTTCACAATCAATCATTAAGAAGTAGATTTAAGTTTAAGACTAGAATCTAGATCTAGAACATCTAACTCTAACTAGATTAAGTAAATTATAACATTGTGATCATTTTGTGTATAGAAAGAGACTGTTTAATTTTTAAACATTTTAATTTTTAACTCTAAGCCTAAGTCATTAAATAGTAAAACATCCAAATTAATGATTACTCAGGCTAGATCTAGATTTCAGATTAATTCAGTAGGCCTACATATAGATCTAAGCCTTAGAGACCTAATATGAACCAAAATATGAACCTAATATAAAACCAAAAGTACAAACCTACTCTATAGTAGGCCTATATACTATATGACTCTGTACCCATTTTATACCTTTCAGTTCACATAGTCATTCAAATCATGCTCATGTGCTAAGTTTAAGTCTTAATGAAATCAGAAAGCACACTTCATAGTTCATTCCTTTATAACTTAGATGCCCATGAGGCAGATGAAGTAAAGTTCACCTGTTTCAGTAACTTCTGTAAATGAAGGAACAGTATAGTATGGTCAGAACTATGTCAAGCCACCTGACTTTCCCTAATTTGAGTCAATTACCCACCCGAGTTGGGTGGTGGACTTTAGGACATCCTGTAAACTTGTCTATACTATGACCATACCATCCCATACACTTTTTTCAAATACATAATAATATTTAAATTTAATGAGTTTAGATTGCTGTAGCTCAAAAATAATAATTGTGTGTAGCATGCTTAAAACAATGGGAATTTAGTACTTTGACCTACATCTCTCTAGCCTGTGATTGTGTGCAAGTGATTGTCAGATTTTTGACATATTTACAAAGATGATTCATTTACATAGGTGCCTACTAATAATTATCTTAATCCAAACATCATCTTAGTTCTGTTTGATATAGGATTATATTTGATATATTTAGTTGAAACCAAACATCTTTGTTATGTTGACAGAGGGTTATAGAGGTGAATCTGTACATCAAACTTGTTATGTTGACATAGGAATATAGAGATGAAACGAAACATCAACTTTGTTATGTTGACATAGGGATATAGAGGTGAACATAATGACAAATATTAAAAAGTAATTGGCACACATAACTAGCTTGCAATACTTGCACTTACATTTTTTAATTCATGACATGACTTGTCAATAAATACAACCTACAGTTCAATCTGCAGTTGTCATGTAGGCTAGGTAATCTCCTTATTGTTATGGCTAATGGTTAATAAAGCTCTCATTGATCAATGAAACCACTAAACTTAGCTAGTCTGAAATGGTACACTTGCGTTTGTAAAAGTAGGTCTACCTACATGTTTTAAATACAGTTTATATTTAAATTAAAACAATTGTAAATAGCTTTAACTTTAACATTTTCCCAGCTGTAGTGTATGTGTTAATTAATTTTACCAATGCTGGTACAGATGGATGATAAGGGTAATCTACCCAAAAATTAGAAATTTAGACCCCTCCTCCTCTTTCCTCTCCACCATATGAATAGGCACAGAAATACAAACAAATAGTCCTTTCAAAAGCTACTTCTGATAAGAGCCTATGCATGTATACCTTGCTTTACTAATCATTTTGATTTATTGTTTGTTACTTAATAGTATATGCAGGATATAGAATGAACTGGGAATATAATATCATAGATAAAGCTTATGGCTGAAACGAAATGTCTCGAGTTCGAACCTTCAGGCAGATGGGTTCAATAGCTGGAGACAGCAACTCTTCTAGGAAAGATCACTCCAAAATCAAACAATTGCCTCGTCCACACGTTTTAGTACATCTCGACTTTTTTCTGACCCTCCTACTCAGTAGCGTACGCAGGGGGGGAGCAGGGGGAGCGGCCGCTCCCCCTCTGGCCATTTTCAGCAAAGTGGCGCCTTTTTGGAAACTTTTTAAACTCAAAGTTTTAAACAATGATATTTGTTAAAAAAAATATTTTTGGTCGGCACATTTATGTAAATCACAAGATTTCTTTTCATGCAGCAATTAAGCATTATTGTACTAGTCTAGTAGTGTCTTACAGTTTGGGCGATAGTGATTACGATTACAAATTATATGAAACAGTTACAACCCCCCTCCCCCATGGACCCCTCTGTAAAAAAATATTGTCATAATACCACTGCTACTTATTTAAATCTATTTCTGTAATATATATTTGTGTAATATATATTTGTGTAATATATATGTATGTTTAGAACAGTCATCTAAAAACTGACGCTATGTTCACTCTGAGTTGGTTATCCCCCCCCCCCCCCCCACACACACACATCACCACCACAATTGTGTAGAGCGACATTAATGTCACACCTAAGAATACACTGGGTTGGATAATTGACCTAAAGTGAACGGACAGTGGTGAATGAAGTTGAACACCCCCCCCCCCCCCACGAACTGATCTGTTAAGTACATGTAGAAAAATGCGTAATGATGTACCAAAGTACCATGCCGCCAGAAAATTAGCTTTTTAAACGTAAAACTCTGTGAATATTGTTTTTGCAATTACCAGTAAAAAGGTGTGTGATCAATATAGTGATCTAACCCTTACCTATCACTATGTTAAAAAAATGACCTTTAAAGAACTCAAAGAAGCAGTAGTTAATTAAAATGTATGATCTGAACTAAAAGACCGATACTTAGTTAAATGTAGGCTGATATTCCGAATGTTTTTCTAATACGTCGAAAAGCGTGCTTTTATTCCAACTCAGATTTTAAAAACTTTCATTATGCTCTAATACTTTAGCATTTATGATGACGGTATATTAAATTCTGATTATAGACAAAAACATTTTGTAAACACGAATAGTGTTAAACAATTTCATTATATTATAAAGTAATTATTTATTTGTTTTGACATTTATAATTAAATGTGTAGATATATACTTATTTATATTAAGATAGTGATTATTTCCCCTACTTCACTTGGCTTAAATAATTTCCCAGGAATTATTATGTAAGAATTTTTTTATAAGAATTACAAAACAGATTGTGTTACGTTTATTGTTTTTGGTTGTAGTGCATATATATATATATATATATATATATATATATATATATATATATATATATATATATATATATATATATATATATATGTTTAGATTGATACAATTTTTGTTTTGTCGGCCTACATTGTGTGTTTTTTCTTCTTTCTTCAGAGTGCTACTTTCAATTTATTTTACATCATAGCGAAGTAATGGCATACAGCTAGTAATTATATACATATATATATATATATATATATATATATATATATATATATATATATATATATATATATATAATACACGTATATAGATCGTGTTAAAAATTCGGCGCCTTTTTTTGCTCTTTTCGCTCCCCCTACAACGGAAACCTGGATACGCCTCTGCTCCTACTACCATGTGCACGTCTGCATGAGTGAACCCTTGTTAGCTTTGTTTTAAGTGTAGGCCTACATCCATTCAATTTCCTTGCCTACATTCATTCCATTTCCTTGCCTACATCCATTCAATTTCCTTGCCTACATTCATTCCATTTCCTTGCCTACATCCATTCAATTTCCTTGCCTACATCCATTCAATTTCCTTGCCTACATTCATTCAATTTCCTACACCCTTTCTGTTCCCAATATCTAGACATATATCTCAAATTGCACGTAACAAATGCATTATTCTTATTGTAATACCATAGTATTACTGTATAGCCTTAATGGGCTTACCATGTAAATACACCTAAATAGAACCACCATACGACATTGTGTTCTAACACACTACCAGCAATTCAGATATTTTGCACGTAAGTGAAACTTGAAACATTCGGGGGGGGGGGGGGGGTGGTGAGTGGCAGCGGTGGTCGAACTTTAGGAAAGGGGAGCAGTGCTTCATTATTCTCCCCCCCCCCCCTTAAGAAACGAGATGCCCGGAAGAAAGTCTTCCTTTGTTTTCACAATCTCATTATAAATGTAACCGTACCTCTTAGATTTATAAGATACTGATAGCGGTTGTATCATACACTATAGCTCAAGTAGCAATATATACTAACTACAGTCAATTTTATTATAATTTTATTTTCTTATTGCATTTATATTTTTTTCCATTTGAAAATTGCAATTTTTTCATGTGTCATAATCTGAAGTCTACATTTAGTACTCATTCTCTTACATCCCTCGCTAAGCCTCCTAAGTTGGTAGATTGGTAGGGTAGCGTATCGCTTGTGTAGTGCTAGTGTTGGCGTGTGTGAAATCCGTGCAGCTTTTGCGGTATAAAACTCAGTATACGTCACGTCTACCATCTAATACATTGTTGCAGCAATGACGTCACACGCGAGCCAATCGGATGGCTGTTCCCCAGCGAGTTTCGTGTGACCAGCCTACCGTGACCATCTGTAGACTCCGCTTCAGTGCGCCGCGTATTTTCGGTGACTTGGGATGGTCCTGCAACTTTAACCAGCTAAACGACCTTGCTATTGGACTAACGAATTGTGCCGCGCTATTGATTGTCCTATCACCGCGCAGGCTAAAGTAGGCTAGAGATCTAGATCTGTTCCTGCCTACAGGAACCTAATGTTGCCGAACTTGATCGACTTTAGCCAACCTAACAATGCTATACGATATCGAGGCTGTAGTTATTTTTTTTAACGCCACCAACAATGAATGCATC